ACCTACGCACTTATTCTAAATCTCTATTCATTCAAGGCTAGATCGACTCGGCTACTGATCAAGAATTTGTATACTTTATTGCAGGGGTGCTCAAAATTGCCTTACGGCAGTGCCCTTACCAACACAAATAAAACAAAACAATTGCACAAACATATGTATCGACGCCGTTTTATTGCTGCTGGATGAACACTGAGGGAAAGAAAACACATTTAATTCTTACAAATAATGAATGACGTAAAATGTCTAATCAAAACCTTGTGGCAAATAAGGAATTGCTTTTCAAATTTAAAATTTATTGCGGAGTACTCCAATGTATTATTTATTTTACCGACACTAATCAAACGAAATGCAGGTTTCGCTGATCCAAAATAAACTAAAATCAAAAGTTCTATCAAAACAAAAAAAAAAAGTGTCGGTTTGAGTCGAGAACAAGACAACAACAATTTGCATACATAGTATCCCTGCATTTAGAGAACTATATTAACGGACCTCACATGTTTTCTGTACCTTGATTCATAACATTCAACAATAGTATATCATATTCGTTAATATTTGCGTTGTTTTTTACAATATCGTTTTATTTTCTGAATAAAACTCAAAACAATGAGTACCGCGATCTGCACAGGTTTTCTACTATCGAGTCGTGGCCGTGTTGAAACCATCTAAAAAACTTTTCAAACATCAATTCAACTCTCCTCATGCAGCGTGCAGGATGAAAATATTCATTCTCATTTCAGCTATCACTATCAACGGGATATTATAGTTCTTGGAGTTCTAACTTTCATATGGTATGCCATAAAATGGTAAAAATTCGTTTTTAAAAAGACAAATAATTGTTGGTTGCTTAGGTTAATTAGGTGGTATACAGAAATAGGTTCATTTCCATCTAACATCTTACATAATACCTAGGGAGTTTTCCAACAGATTTTTTACTTAAGCTGCTTTTTACAACTAAAATTATTCCACGACCCTGAAATTTTAAAAAGTATATAAGTAAAAGTATATAGTATTTTCAAAATGTTTTTAATTTATTTTCCCCGCAGTTTGTCCTTTACCTATTAAATATAAAAAAATCTAAAAAGCATATATTTTTGATCTACGCAGTGAAAGAGACATTTCCGGCGCTATACAGTGTATATATTCTTAATCAGAATTACCAGGACTGTCGATCTAACCTTGCCAGTCTGTCCGTCCGTTTCCACGCAAAATAGTCTCCTAGTTTTTAAGTATCTGAATGCTATTCTGCGAGATACAGTAATTCAGTGCTTTTAAGCAAAAAATTATCGTTTTATAGAATATGTAATTTTTGTAACAGTTGCAAGGGTATTCGACAAGCCGAAGTTTCCTTCTTTTCTTGCTTTAATTGATTTCACTGAACAAAGATTTTCTTTTTCGCTAGAATTGCGTAAATTCGTTTTTAAGAAAAAAGCAAAAATAAGTTCACAAAAACAAACTTTTGGGTATACTTTTGTTCCTATTGTATTTACAATAATTATGTTAAGGAAGAGTAATTGTCATTAAAAAATACCTCTTTAACGACAATTTTAAGAAGTTTGAGAAGAGGGAAAGTCCAATATGCTGGATATAACAAAAAGGTTACCAGAATTTTAAAACAAAAACAAGAGAGAACGCTATAGTCGGGTGCCCCGACTATCAGATACTATCAGATGGAGATAGAAACTTTGATCACGCATAACTTTTTAACGAATGGTCCGATTTGAAAAATTTCTTCTACATTTCGATAGGTATTGATAAACACAATAAAACTGCATTTTTACTTTTCCGAAATATGTAAATTGCGCTGCGTAGGAACTCCTAGAATCTGCATGCAAAATGCCAATCTTCTAGCTTTTATAGTTTCCGAGATCTCAGCGTTCATACGGACAGACAGACAGACGGACAGACGGACAGACGGACATGGCTAGATCGACTCGGCTAGTGATCCTGAACAAGAATATATATACTTTATAGGGTCGGAAACGCTTCCTTCTACCTGTTACATACTTTTGCACGAATACAATATACCCTTTTACTCTACGAGTAACGGGTATAATTATTCCTGGTAAACTGTCAAACTAGCAGCCCTTTGGTTCCAATTTGAACATATTTTGAATGATTGGAATAAATTTTCACCAGTAACTCGTAAACTAAGTCTGAAAAACTTTAAAAATTAATTTTTTTTTTCATTTCTACTGACCTAATTGACTTCTGAAGTCTTAGTATAAAAGAAGAGCAACACCTTTTGAACGGATTTATCATTAATTTTGATTTAGTGTAATAAATAATAGTGCAGATTAAAGGTTACAAAAAATATTTTCAAAATAAAGAATATTTTATTTATACTTAAAAATGATTTGTTTATAAAAAATTAGATAATATATATTAGATATATTAATAGAATACCAACTTTATATATTTCAAAATAAAACAGGAAGAAAGAAAACTTCGGAAAGGCAAAGCTTATATTCCTTTGTAGCTATAACAACATGTATTATTATATTCTATACAATTCTTAATTCTTGTCCAAATATTTTTATAAACAATGGAGTTATATCGATTTACAGAACATTTTTTCGATCGTTTCCTTTACATGTAGCCGCTTCCTTCGCACTGTGAGGCGTCGAGAAACTCCAATAGTTTCATTTTAAGCTATCAATCAATTTTTTAACAGGGAAGTGAATAAGGGGAGTTTTCTCCCAATTTTTATACCCTTGCAGAGGGTATTATAATCCTGTAAAGTATATATATTATTGATCAGGATCGCCTCCTGAGTTGATATAAGCATGTCCGTCTGTCCATCTGTCTGTTTCTACGCAAACTAGTTTTAAAGGTATCGAATTGTATCTTTGCACACACCCTTCATTCCTTTGCACGCAGTATATAAGTCGGAACGGCCGGGATCGGCCGACTATATCCTATAGCTGCCATATAACTGAACGATCGGAAATGCCATAACTTTGGTGTTTTTAAAGTTAGGAAGCTGGGATTTTTTATGAGTATTAAGAATGCATCATATGAATAATTTTGGAGAATATTATTTACAGAATATTCTGCAAGGGTATATCAACTTCGGCTCCGCCCGAAGTTAGCTTTCCTTTCTTGTTGTATATGGATTCGTTTTTAGCCGGCGGGAAAATATTTCACAATCTTGCACTTTGCAATCCTTTTGAAGAAATTGGAACGCAAAAATCCTTTGATTACTAAAGCGGTTCAAAATAGTCAAATTTACCATTTTTATACCCTTGCAGAGAGTATTATAATTTTGGTCAGAAGTTTGTAACGCAGTGAAGGAGACATTTCCGATCCCATAACGTATATAAATTCTTGATCAGGATCAACAGGGGAGTCGATATAGCCATGTCCGTCTGTACGTCTGTTTCAATACCGTTTGCAAGCTCAGTTTAAAAGCTAGCGATCGTCCTTAAACATGTGCACGCAAATCAAGTTTGAAAAGCGCCCCGATCGGACGTTTATTTCCTATAGCTCCTATAGAAACAATCGGATATAACTTGCAAGAATTGAAGATATTTTGCGCAGTGTAAAAGCTATTGATATGCATCTTTCCAAATTTTTTTTTTTATGGATACCTTGATCAGGGTAAAAGCGCGTGCTGATCGGACCTCAATATCCGATAGCTCTCATAGGAACAATATGGTGAAATCGGTTAAAATTTGATGTATTTCAGGAAATTTCGCGCAGTATATGACATGAATCTTTCCAAATCGTATTTTTTATGCATACCTTAATCGGTGTAGAAGCGCATGCCGATTGGACGTCTATATCCTATTTGAATTTGAAAGTGCTAAATGCTAATTTATAAGGATTAAGTTTGTTATTATAATGTAACTACCATAGACAATAGCACGACTGAGGAATAGGAAAAAAGTTTAGGGTTTATTTAAATAAATACAAATTAATTGTATTATATTGGTCAAATTCACCTTGGGAGAAGTTTCGATTTTTATCTAATGCCTTTAATAATTATGTATAGATGGAAACAATTTTCAAAAAGACCATTTTCATAAATTGTCTTCCTAAATCTTCTAGTCATTGACAAATCTCTGAAAGTTTTGTTTAATACTTAACTTTAAAAAAATAAATTTTACGGTTTTCGCAAAAATAAAATTACCTAAATTGCAACCCTATCAGAGGTGGTTTTAGTTGCAAACGATTTTAATGACGCAAGACTTGGTCCACACTGCAGTACACATTGGGAAATTTCGAGCCAAAATGTACAAATATAGCTCGATGTTCCCCTAAACGTAACAACGTGTTCCCAGGTACCGGGCAACACATTTTTTTGTAAATTTCACAAAAATTGTCTAGAGAATATGGGGAAGTTGTATGTTATACAAGGAAAACCTGTCATCCTTCTAACTCACACGGGGCAGCTTTCGGATGGATAGGCACGCATTTGCAATCTATTTTCCACTAATTAATCAAAAATAAGTAAACTGGAGCATTGATGTTTTGTGGCGACAGGCCAGGCTAGGCGATAAGAGGTGAGATGGGGCGGGACGTTGGACTTGAGCACCGCGGCTGGTGGTGTCTGCCTCTGTGTTCACTTAATGCAAAAGCAAAACTTGGGAAATTTATTCTTCAATGAGTGAAGCTCGGGGATGAGTAGCGATGGGATGATCCGAGATGAGCCGGGATGGATTTGGTCGGGATCGCAACTAGGCTGTCGCTGGGTGTCCCTCATATGTTGGCGATTCTTAAATGTCGCGCAGCGCTTTCTCGGAATAACGAAAAACGCCTTGTATCTTAATTGAAACAAACTTTAGCTTCGCCTTTGTTTTCGCCGCCATTGCCATTGAAAAAATATGCATCATTTATACTATAGCACACACTTTCAAGAATTACCGAGTATTTTAGAGCGGAGTGAGGCACAGTTGAGCCATTTCCTATGGTCTTCATTCCATGTAGGCCCCTTTAATGAATTCTACCCCTCCCAATCAATCCATTTATGTGCATACTTCTGTTTTTATCGCAACATGTAGCAGCAGAGCGCAAGATTTCTTGGGCCCGGCGCAAGGGAGAAAAGTTCAACACCACCTGTAGCACATCAAGGAAGCAATCAATGTGGCAGTGCTACAGGTGCAAATAACAATCACTCATTGTTTCGCGCATGCTCCTCATCCTCGTGTCAAGATATTTGTGATCACAGTACAAAGCCATTTGGCAATGCATACGGCACCGAGGCATTTAGAAGGTAAGGTCATTCCTTAGCTGGACTTCGAGCGATCACACTATATTTGATTCCCCAGTTATGAAACAGCCGATCGCGCCACCTTTGAGGACTCCACGGCCAAGTTTTCGATCAGCCGCAGCCGCACAGATTGCACGGAGGTCAGCGACGAGACAACGTCGGGTATATCATTCAAAACTGAACCTTACGGACCGCCCAGCAGTCCTGAGTCTACCAACGATAGCAAAATAACGCGCAACCTCGACGACTGCTCCGGCTGTGGGCGGCAAATACAGGTAAGGTTAATAATAATCATGTTTATTATTTATACAGAAAATCAATCGGCATTAGACTAGTACAACTGCTTAATGTTTTATTAAGCAAACAATTAAACAAATTTTTAAAAAGTTAAATGCTATGGAGTACCTGCAAGTTGTACAATAATAAAAATAAAGAAAATAACATTCAATTCGACTTTTAAAAATTAAAACCCATGATAAGACTTTTTAAAAAAATTGTCCAATCTTTAAAACTCTACAAATACATAGTTCTTATTTATTAGCCAGAAAGTACAAGATTTAAAAATATTTTGTTTATAGAATTCTTAATAGATAATGGTTAATAAATCATTTCCCTAAAATTCGGCTGCAAGCCTATTATTTCAAGGCGACTCGAAGTTTTAAAAAAACTAGGCATTATGAAAACCGTTAAAACTATTACAACTTTATAAAAAGACACTTACAGCTGCAATCATGAATATAGTAGTGGCTTAAGCCCCCATTTAAATATTCCGCTGTGGCGGATAGTATAGGTTTTTATGCAGTACAATAAACAAATATATCCCACACATTTTGCTGTTTATTTTCATGTTCCGCAAAATAAAAAAATTTGTATATCAAATCGTTTTCCAAATGTATTAAAAATCTTAATTTTTAGGATTACAATGCTATTTGTTTCTTAGCATTGCTAACTTTTGACTGAAATTATAATACACTCTGTATGGGTACAAAAAAAAAAGAAAAAACCAATTCAATCGGAAAGGAAAAAGCCACGGCAGACCGCTTAAATGGCGGCACTAAAATTTTCATGATCGTAATGGGAAATGCCTTGCTTTCTCCGAAAAATGCAAACTTTGTTGGGAATATGTCATTTACAATATATTTTCCGGTCTTTTCTTAGGATCGTTTCTACCTCTCCGCTGTGGAAAAACGCTGGCACGCCAGCTGCTTGCAGTGCTACGCTTGTCGGCAGCCGCTAGAACGGGAATCCTCATGCTACTCACGTGACGGCAACATTTATTGCAAAAACGATTATTATAGGTAAGTCGCCAAGCCAAAACAAAACCGAGGCCAGTGCCAGCCATTGAGGAAAATTACTATACTATACGGAGCAGTGGCTGAATCTCCGGCTGGGAGCTTCTGGGAAGCGATTGCGAAGAGGGGTGGGGCTTGGGTTGATGAATCAGATAAAACCGCGACTGCATGCCAAGACATTGACTAGAAAATGATTTCCAAACACGCAAGTAAGTTTTTATGCACGCGGCTGCCTTAAGATCTGCAACCAGATCATTGTTTTGCACCACTGTGCGACGGCTGAAAGGGTGCAAACGCGATAGCGAATTCGAATGCAAGTGGAAGCAGACCGCAACGAAGACTCCAGCGGTCTACCCATCTGCTTATCCGCCCATCCGCTGGCTGAGTGGCTCTGCGTGTGTTCTGCTGTTTGCCCGCCACGGCATTCTCAAGAACGCCCGCTCACCAGCTAGCCAGCTCACCATCTCACCTGCGCACGCCCTCACCCCTCACCCCTCACCGCTCACGAACTGCCTTTCTAGAGGACGAAGGCCGGGTCTTGGGGCTCCGCCAGCGTTGACAGTCTTCGCCTGGGTGGGTTTCCCAGCCCACTGGCCACTGCTGCCTTCACCCGCTCCACAAGCTCTGCCGGAGGAAGCTGCAGCAATGCGATTTCACGCGTCGCAGCAGTCACGCGAGCTCCTAGCATTCTAGCAGTGCGAAGTGCCACAGAAACGGGTTATAATTACCCGATATTTCAGCACCCATCTGAGGTGTACTGGGATCTTCTGCAATTGTGGGACACCAATTTGTTTGTGCTCTCTCAGAGCTGTAAGGGGCCAGGGCAACACCTGTTCGGCGGCACCGAATAAGTTCCTCATTCAAGTCAGATACCCTCGGCTCGAGATCCATAAATCCAGGCAAGTCACGCTCGTCACTCGTATTTCCTCTCAAATGATTCTTGTGACATTTATGACCGCTCCATATTTCAAAATACCAACCGTCGGGCTGGGAGTCTCAGTTGCAGTCCGTGTCTGCAAGCGTCTGATACTGCCTGCGACTCCGACTCCCCCTGGTTTCGGGGTCGCCCTATCTGTACGGGTGTGGGATTGATCGCCAGATTCCAGAGGCGCGACCGCCGCGCTCCGCTGGCAGTCGCACAAACAGACGTTCGCGGCTTGTATTGGAGAGTTAGGGGGACTGGGGGCCTTGGCATGTCGTACAGAATCCACTCCGCCGTAATGTTTCATTTCGTTTCATTCCGGTGGGTTTTCTGCTGCTGCTGGGCATTATCAATCACATCGAGCCCGCGACTCACCCAGAGCAATCCCCACATTTTCCGTTGATTTATACTGCAGATGTCAAATGTGACGTTCCCCGGGTCGAATGTGGGGGCGGGGCCAATAGCCTATAGCGTAGGCGAACTTATGTCATGTGCACTAGTGGATCTGGTGGATTTTGCGGGTCGCGGGATAAATAGAAACTCAAATAAACGCCCCTCGGCGCATCCAATAAAATAGATCCATGTTTTGTCAAATTTAAGCACACGGTGGTTTTTTACCGATGTCGCCGGGAAATACATGAAATATTCGTGTGAATGAATTATATTCAAATTATTTGAAACGACAATCAATGTTTGGTCAAAATACGCTTATATTTTATTATACTCTTCAACTCTGAAAATGTATGATTTTTTAAATTGACAACTAAATTTGTTGTTACGTTTTCCAAGTTACTATTATGGTAAATATTATTTCTTCAATTAAATAAAAGTCCAGTGTAGAAATAAATATTATTAATATTATAAAGCCATGTACACAAAGTTTCAACAATTAACTATTACATTTTGTCAAGAATCTTTGAATTTAACTTAACTTTGAGACAGGTCGCAGAGTTGATATTATTCTGTCTCACATAAAAAAAAAATTATGCAAGTTATACAAGTTCAAGTCATGGGGCTTCGAAAGAATGGATTATACATTTATTTATACATATCGTACTGGTTTTAGGTCCAATGTGACTGCAAAAATTCGGAGAATGAAGATACAATACTAAAAACTTGACACTGTTGTTAGTGAATTAGAATAATCGGAAAATATCTTAGCATTTTTACCATTTGCATTCTTAAAAAACACACCATCCTTTTCTTCCACCAACAAAACATACTAAATATAATTAACTCATTATTTTGTACATTTAAATAGAAAGAAAAAGCAAATGTATTCTTATTATTTGTTCTTTGACTATCATCGTCATTGGGAATCACATAAATATTAAAGAAAAATAAAATATGCTGTTCCTGAAAATAAAAAGTTTATAACATATCCTGGAAGTGGTATAGGAAAGCGTTTCCCACCTTATAAAGTATATATATTATTAATCAGGATTACACTTCGTGTGAGTGAAATCTGAAGCAGGTTAAGCATTGAAAATGTGGAATCATTTGATGTCCTTCTAGACGACATGGTTTTAAAAGTGTAGAAATTAAAAAATGAATTGTTTTCATATATTAAAAGTTTAATTAACTAAGAATGTGTTCCTTAGAGGATTATTCAAAATTCAAATTAGTTTCAGAGATTTTTCTGAAGCGGCATCCAGGCCAGCTCGCCCTGTCTTATCGAAGTTCTACTCTACCAAAATTTAAAGTTTAAATATTAAAAACAAATTTATTTAATTTCTTTGACTTTTCCGTAGTTTGGACATTGCGACATTGCTTTAGATTAATAATCTTTTTTTGTCAGGTTCCTAGAAGGGTTAGAATCGTGAGTCTGGTCACGCTTCAATTTGTTGAGCCGATTCACTTGATCAGCTGCTAGTATATTGATTTTTTCATTTAACATTTATTTATATTTTACGTCACTTCAAAAATTAGCTAAAATGCATGCATCTAGACCAGAAAACCCCCTTAACAAGTCGGTAAAACCCTATTCATTGAGATTAATTTTCATTATTGATTTCTAAACGGATTTGCGGTCACCATCCAGCGGGGTTTCGAATTAGCAAACAAGTTGTGTGATAATCTGCTAACACATGTTCACCTGGCTGCCGTTATTAAAGATATTTTTGTTTCCCCGGCACACCAGAAACAGTAACTAAGGTGTAGGACTCCCGTTGGTACACCGCTAGCTCCATAGGTTCTTGACTTGATCAAAGACTAGGAATCGTTTATAATTTAGTTTTTTTTCAGATTTAAGCTCGCAAAGCCAATAATTGGATTGTTTAGGATTAAAGATATCCGTTTGCTCTTGCTGCTGATGCAGTGGTGGTGCCACTGTCTGCTGGATGTGGTTGCCCGCAAGCTTACATTTACTGGTCCAATGTACCTGTTTGACTTGCCAATTCTCGTTTTTCCGCCTGCCAGGGGGAGCGAGGTGCATAAATGAAAATTTCTGGCTGTCACCTGCATATGTTGGAGTGTGTGTATCTGCATACTCCCTGTCCCAAAGCCAGTGAGAATGGCTGGTCTCGTGTCTATGGGGCCGCTGCTCGACTTTGGCTGTGTCACAAAAGTCCGGGCAGCAAGTGCTTATCTACAGCGATGATGTTGTGCTGATGGCACAGCGGATAAGACGGCTTAGCCGGGCATCAGATTGGGACTAGCAGGATGGTTTTGAAGACGCAGTGTCATAATTTTTATTTTATGTGGCACGTCAGGAATTGGGGTCTGGAAGATCTTCTGATAGCTGGATTTCCTTCGCTATCAGAGGGCCATGCCAAAGTGCGGACCTCGGGGTCGATGAAACGTCTTAATCAGCGCTGGGGACGAGTGCTGTCTTCGCATCATAAAACATTCCACCGATTTAGTAGGGCTTGACTACGGTGACCAGAAAAGTAGGCAAGTGGATGAAAAAGTTTGGCATAAAATATTTACAGTTTTTAAAGTCAGCGAAGCGCGACCATTTAATTGTGCCTAGTAAGAGCAGGAGACTCGAGCACCGAATTTATGGCCCCTCTGAAGTCGTGGGTTATCCAATAAAATAATTTATTTACCTCGCAAACAGAAGGGAAGTAAAAAACCGAAAGAATTCATTAAATAAATGGAGTGTAAGAAGTTTCTACAACGCCGCCACTGAAGACTGCGTGATGAAATTGAAAATCTACAAAAACAGAGACTGCAGATTTAACAACAGGGCACATCAGCTGAACGATTCAATCTCACGTTGGCTTTTTATGTTCAAGTCACCGCCCTCAAGTGCTTCTAACGTTGGGCTCCAGCGTTAGCATGAGACTAAAATCCCATCAAAGAGCTAAGCAGAAATTGGATTTGATAATGTGCCTCCAAGAATCATGCACCCATCGCACACACTCTCATGTCCGACAGAAATGACTAAAAAAATCACAGTATTTATATTTTATGGGCACTTGTCGGCGGGCCGTGTAGCGCCGCAATGCCAACACATATCCCGAAGATAGCCACAATGGGCCAGCTGCACAACAGTGCGAATAAAATTTTTGGCAAATGTGCTTACTGCTTTAGCCCGATTTCTCGCCTTCATGGTAAGCAACAAGTTGGTTTTACGCTCCAAAGTTTATTACGTTTTCTTAGATAAAAAACTTATTTATAGCTTACCATTAAAGCGAGAAAACGAGCATAAGAGTAGTATAATGTTTAGTAAAAATGAAATTTTCAATTCTAACTGCTGCAAAAAAAATAAAATGAAAAAAAATCGCTACGTGAATACCAAGCGAATTCTATCACCTTTTAAATGCATTATGTGATATGGTTTTCAAATGACCCTGTGCTGCTCTATTTTATTTTATTTTTGTATACAACAAATTTAATACACTAAATAAATAAAAAACGATTTCTTGGGGAGAATTTTAATTCTACAAATTTCCGCCTACAGTGTAAAACTAAAAAGTTATAATCAAATTTGATAAAAAAATATTCTTTTTTTTGCAAGTTATCAGAGGAACGAAAAGCCCAATCAGGCAATATTGCCATTTATTTAAACCAATTACAACTGAAACAATTTGTTACATAAAATAATAAACTTGATTTGAGAGCATTTATAAAGACGATCATG